AGCTTTATCACCTTTCCATCGGGAATCTGTCTCCTGCTTCTCATTCAATAAGGCTAGAGAGAGAGAGGGTGAGAGCTGTGCATGTGGGTCATGGGAATCATTACGATGACAAATCATTCGGACTTTTTTTTAGAAAGAATGTATATGGCAGGAGAGTAGTTTATATCAAAATTAAAAAAATCAGTGATTTAGATCGAAATCGTTTGATCTGGATCGAATTTTACTCTATCCATTTTAAATCTTATAATATATCGAGATCTAGTTGATTCCCTTTTAAAACTAGCCAGTTCATAGTGATCCTTACTGGCTGTGTTAGAGAAAACCGGACGCTTTAACTGATTCCTATGTTTTTCAATTTTAATATTTGAAGTCAACTCTTTCAATTAAAAAAGTGTAGTGGCCCTTGAGTTGCCTTCATTGTTAGACACATGCTCTTTGAATTCCCCATATGTTGAGTTGCCTTCATTGTCAAACACTTGGCCTTTGATTTCCCTACATGTTGACTTGGCTTCATTGTTAGACACCAAACCAAACACGTAAGATTGGCTTCCCATTACGCAATGCTATCAAACACCAACATTTAAGTTGTTTTATATTGCCTTTCCCTCCCACCTTTCTTCGATGGATAATTCTTCTTTGTTCTGTTCACTCTATTCTATTGTAGTGACTACCGGAAAACTGTCTAATAGCGTACTAGCTCATGGGATTAATATTAAGATATTAGCTTATTGGGAATATATATATATATAATATTGGCTCATGGGATATTAAAAAGATAAAAAACAATACTAATACTATTTTATTGAACATTTTTTTAAAACAATACTCGCTTATCGAATATTTTAAAAGAAAAAATAACACTAGCTCATACCACTTCAGAATCTATGTTCAAGTTGTTTTATCAGTCATTCTACATTGCAAGTATGAATTTATTTATTTATTTTCTAATTTTATTGAAACTTGATTACAAATTTATGTTTCTAAATTCTATATTTTGTCCATATTAATTATCACATTAGATTTTTTTTTATTTGTGAGGGTCATACCCTTGTTTTCTCTCTATTAAATCAAAATGTCCAAAACTATTATATACTTATGAAAGAATAACTCGTGTAATCTAGCCAGAGTATATATTCTTTTCTTTTTTTTTCTTCTGTTTTAATTTTTTTTCGTTTTCTTTTTTCTTCTCGGCTTAGATAATCCTTTTACAATCAAACACTTTCAAATAAAATAAAGAAAAAAAATACAACTAGGATCTCAAGTACTTGAAATCATTCAAAACATTTCTTTCAATAACAAAGAAAAGATACATCCTATGTTTGAGAATAAAGAAAGCAATAAACAAATAAGCAAGAAACAAAAGAGGGTGTCAGAGATTACCTCAACCGGGTTTCTTACACCCCACACCGAGTTACCACCTTCTGATGGTACGAGATCTAGTGGTCAACCTTCAATCTTAAACGAGAAAGCAAATTTTGGACAAGCTATACCTATGGAACATGAACACTTTTTTATCACAAAACTCAAACCCTAGGTAAACCCCCTTTGATAACCTAGTTTGAGATATATGGATTCTCTTTTTGCTACACCCTAAAACCCTTAGCTATAAATCCAAAGTTGAGAGTTAGGAGAGACAAGAAATCAAGAGACAATGAGAGGGGTGTGCCCCCCTTGAGCTTTCATGAGAGAGAGAAAGTTTCCAAAATAAGAGAGATATTGCTTAGAGTAGGGCATGCCCCCTATGGGAGTTCATGAGAGAGAGAGATGGAAAGTTGTGATGTGTAGAGATTTGGGTAAGGTATGACCCTCTTTTATAGTACTTAAATAGATTTAGGGTGTCTTAGGGTTTTTTTTGGCTTGCCACACATGCGAGATTGAATATGTACCATTGATTGTAGGTGACTTGTGGGGTGAGAGATGTGAGCTGTCCATTTTATAAATGGGTCATCAACATCCTATGGAATTTGCTAGAATCATTATCCCCCACTTCCTAAACCATTTTTCCATCAATTAATTCAAATAAGAAATAAATATATGATAATATTATCATTTTTTATTTTGTGCTCAAGCCTTTTCACACATTAAAAATATGATTCAAAATCTCTACAAAGCTCAAGCTTTTCAAAACACATATTTCTTACCCCACAAAACAAGAGCTTGTACTATTTATGATAAAAAGTTCCCTAATTGGGGCGTGCCACCCATTGTGGCACATAATGGGCCCCACCTAATTTGTAATGGTGGGCCCAAAAGACCTACTAGGCCTCCCATGCAATTATATTATTTTTTATTTTTCGAAAACTATAAAATTATTATTTAAATATTTAAATTATTATAAAATCAATACCTCTGTTTTTATAAATCCAAATTTGATATATAAAATATCCAGAGATTCAGAAAAAATCAAATAACAATTTTTAAAATAATATATTATTAAAATAAACAAAATTAAATACTTTGATAGGAAAATTATCCATATGGTTTATGAATAAATATCCATTGGAGCACTCCATGTCCAACTGTGAACTACAAACCACACATGCTTTTTCAAACCGACCCAACTTGCCCATGACCCACAGTCCATGCAGGGGATCATTAGTAAGTCACCAAAGTCTAGCCAATGGGTAAAGGTCGTAGTCCTTGTATATGGATATCAGATTCCCTTGGAGACGAAAGCAATGTCATCTTGACCTGATATAATCCATTGTTTGATGGTGCACGAGGGCTATCTCTTGCACATGAACACGCTTCACCCTGAAAGGTGGTTCGCTTTTCTAAAACGGCTATCAATGTGCATACCGTGTGATGGTACAAATGATCAGGCTTTTCCCTTGTCTCTGAAGGGTTCCATCGCACAAAGGGTCACACAGTCCATCGACTCACTCTTCCGGGCGTACTCCGACCTCATCAAGTGATAACACATCTAACCATCATCGGTTTGTTTCTTTATGCCCAGATAATATGGGTCTTTCCCAAACCTGACCGACCTAGCACGTTAAGCACAGTCCAGCATCATCAAAGATCGTTTGCTTAGTATAGTCCACATGGGACTATATTCCCTATGAATTCATGTTTCACTATATAATTTCATTTTACAAGCACTCATAAGGCCTTTAATGACCACACATACCCAACACTTGTTTTTTTTTTAATTATGATTTTGAGTCAAAGAGATCCATTCTATTGTAATGAGCTGCATTTTAAATTTCATTTTGACTATAAAATGAATATAATGTACAACAAACACTCATACATGAGACAAATTCTTAGTACTTAAGTATTTTCAATAAAATTAAAAAAACTATAATGCAATACCACTATTTTTAAAAAAATCTAAAAAATAGATCTTTAATAAACTTTTAAAGTTTTTTAATGCCGATCCGCCCGATTCTCTTATCCGGATCACAGATCTGCCTATCCGACCTTGTTTTTGAGATGGGCAATTTGGATTACCGATTCATTTTTTCAAACCTTGGTCTATATAGTTACTCCGTCGGGCAAAAGATACATGAAGGAGGGCCTCTTTGACCTATTATATTGGGTCCATTTTAAAGTTGTCATGTGAGTATTATGAAAACAAAGAAAATGTACGATTTTTTTGACCTATTATATTGGGTCCATTTTAAAGTTGTCATGTGAGTATTATGAAAACAAAGAAAATGTACGATTTTGAATAGTTGAATACTCATATATAACAATCTTTCTTAGAATGTTACTACTTTTGAGAAATTAACATGTGGTTCAACCTAGGGCAGAAAATTTACCCGGTTTGTTACTTAATAGGGTTTTCTCTTTTTTTACTTTTAGCGAGAGGTGGTGTTGACCGCTTGGTGGTCGTTTCTCTTTCCTCTTTTCTCTTTCCTCTTTTTTTATTTATTTATGTTCCTCTAATTTGAACATTGTAATTTCATGCTCTTGCAACAATTTATCAATAAAAACTTCTGAACATTGTCAAAAAAAAAATAGAAACTTATATATGGCTCAACCTAGGGCAAAAAATATTACTTATTTTTATCATTAAAAATATTTATTTTTATTTTTTTTATCAAGTGTCCCCCTACAAGAAACCAATACCTCAACTTTCATCGCAAATGCTCTACGCCATTTAATTAAGGTAAGAAGCCTAGAGGTTAATGTATGACATTTTGATTGGAGTTATCTCAACCATTCCATTAGATCGAATGGTTGGGAATCATAGTTGGTGGATCAATCATAAACAAGCATCATTACGACATCATCCCCTATTGTTCATTCAGTGGATATGCATGAGTATGTTCCATAATACTCAATACTGATACTATACAAGTAAGGCGTACCCTTAAAATGTGTCAAAAATTTATGGTTGTTTGAAAATTCGTGTTAATCTCTAATTATGAAATTTAAAATTTTAATAAATGTATAGATTGAGTAGATTTATATACACTTTAAAATATTAAAAGAAAATAGGCAATCCAAATACCTTGTTACAATATACTATTTTTAGTATTTAAATTTTATATTTATGCTTTTATCCATAGACCTTGATGTTGAGGTGATCAATTAGAAAATTTTCCAACTTAAAAACACTCTTTTTTAATTGATGTTTTAATAAGGTACACCTTACTTCTATAATATAATATTACAATCGGATACGAGGTTGCAAACTTAAACAAGCAAGTTAAGGTGCACATCCAAACTTTGTCATTGCATACAATTTTACTGTCGAAATTTTTTAGGATAGCGGCAATATATTTAAGGACATGTAATCTTTAACATGGAGACCATGAATATGAAATAATAAGTAACTTTTAAAAACTAATAATAACAATTCTAGTAAAAAAACATTTGGACCGTTAGTTTCTATTATTTTTAGATGGAACACCTACTTGCTTCCATCTTTAAGAGGGATGTTTTACACTTTTTGACCGCATATGTAGTTATGCGGTCCAGCCCGCATGAGACAATTTTCCCCGTATAATATTCCCGCCGTTCAGAACTGGCCATGTGAATCTTGGCGTGCAGCCAATAAAATGAAACTTTTTTCCTTGATTGTTGTTCAGAGGAACAGAAGACTCTGTACATGTCAATGTTCCCCTCCTCCGCCTTCTCTCTACGTTCCGATCCACAATTTAAGCGCTCTCTCTTTCTCTCTCTAAATCGCTCTATCTCGCCCCTTCCCCTCCTCTCTCTCTCTCTCTAACAGTCTCTGACTTCATCTCTTCGGCCCCTAGTATCTCTCCCTCTAGCAGAGGCAATGCTTCCAGAGATGAGTGGCATAGAATGGGACAGAGAAACGTATGCCCAATATCAAGACTTTGCGGCGCTTCCTTTACTAGCTCTTTTTTTCCCATCAATTAGATTCTTTCTTGACAGATTCATCTTCGGGGTATCTCTCTCTCTTATTGTCCATCTGATTCCTTTTTCTTTTTTTTTTGATTTTTTTATGGTTGTACTTGGGTCTCTCTCTCTCTCTCTCTCTCTCTCTCTATTTTCCTATAAATATGAAAAGTTTGTTGCATCTATAATTGCTGAAATGGGGTTCTTTTGGTTTGTGAAAGTTTCAAAATTTTGACTTTTAGTTGTAATTTAAATTGTAAATCTCTGCCCTTTTCAAATAGTAGTTAGCTTTTGGCTTAGTTATGATATGCTCTTGAAGTAAGAAGACCAGTTTTGGCGTACAGGTTGTTCGATATGTGAGCTTTTAGCTTCTCTAGTGATCCAGATCTAGCATGCTTAAAGAAGTATTTACTTGTCTGTGGCTGCAGAAGTGTAATAGCCAAGTTTATTACCTTGGGCATTTTTGTTTTAACCTTTTTGTTTTTTTTCTGTAATGTGAAGTGATTGTGAAGTTCATAAAAGTTAACCAAAATTACCATGAACAAGTGAGCAACAAATTCCAGCTTACACATGGAGATGAGGAGGAGCATTTAATTGTGATTGATTTTGCTTTTCTTTCTGATTCACGGCACTGACAAAGGAAACAAAGAATTGAATCATTTAAAGGAACCAAGTGGGAACGATAACGATGTGTACATTTGGAATCATGTGATGAAATAATAATAAGTTCAATCGATTTTGTTGTTTACGAGGATTTGGTCAAACTGGGGAGACCAGAAATAGATATGCACAAGCATTGCTTCTGGTTCATGTTTTTTGTACAAAGTCCTGTAAACTGTGTGAAAGGATACACTACACAAAGAAGTAGCACTACTTTAGAAGGATTGGCTAAACAGAAAGATAACGGACCAATCTTCAATTACTGCCAAATATTTGCTAAAACAAATTGGTCAATGGTGTTAAAAGTTTTAGGATGAAAGCTTATGTCTGTTGTAGTGGAAAGTAAATGATATCTGGCTATTCTCCCGTCCTCAATATTTGTGGCTGTCTCCTTGAAGTTTTCATGTAATTGGGTTGCCAGCATGCTTGGATAAGCCCTGCATGGTTGATCATCTTTGGCAAAATGGTACTTGAATTCCCATTATGTGTCTCATATGTATTGGGGTATTGGATACAGTTTTTGAGAATTTGTAAGGCTCACTGTAGAAGAAATTCAGAGGCATAAAGGTGTATGTCTTAGCCATTAGTAAATCTAACTTTAAGGACTTTATGCATGAATTTTGGTGGTGAAGGGCTATGTGTGTTGGAGGCAACCCTTTTAGATAGAGCGCAAATGCCTTGAGTGAGGCCTGTACTCAGTAACCTAAGATGGGGGAAATAGTGAAATGAAATATTGAACGAAGCTTGCTTATGAATTCAGACTGTAGCCTCTCCACTTTTGTAATTGTTTACTATTTCCTTTGACCCAGGAGATACTCCTTTAGCATCTCCTGGCCCTTCCTGGCATTTATTTTCTATTATGTCAATCCACCTGTACTGTTTGCCTTTTTGGTAACTAATCAAGAAACAGATTAGATACTCTTTCTAATCTCTTACTGGATAAGTAGCATATGATTTGTATATATCTGGTTGCATATAATGGTGGATATGTACATTGTTTTTGATGTATTCTATTACCTTACGAATGAAATTTTGCGACCCAATAAAAAAAAGACTTTGCATTTGTTTTAGATTCAACTTTGCCTGAAGTTGCTTCATTTACTGCAGCAATACGCAAAGGTGTTATGCATCATAGATACGTTGAGCAGTGGCTATAAAGTCCCAATTTGTACATGTGAACATCCATGATTTCATTCGTTGGATCTAACTATAACCTGGCCCTAGAGGTTACACTATGATACAACAGGGCAAAAATGGTTTTGTTGGAAGTCTTTCTAGCTCTTGCGTGTTAGGTTTTGCAACCTTGAAAGACACATAAGGATGATTGCATCTCTTATGATGTGTGGGAGATCCTCAAGGGTTGTAAACCAACTAGAGTCCTATTTTATGTCAAGGATGTGATTTTGCATTAAACACTAACTGTTACTACACAGTTTACACACACTTGCATTTGCACATATGGAAGTGTGCACAGATCCTCAAGGGTTGTAAACTAACTAGAGCCCTATTTTATGACAAGCATGTGATTTTGAATTATACACTAACTGTAACTCCACAGTTTACGCATACTTGCATTTGCACATATGGAAGTGTGCTTGTGTGTTTGCATGTGTGTGTAGGTACGCATGTACATATAAATGTACTGTGTTCGTATGCGTGCAAGTATTTTTTGTGAAGTATGTGTGCACACACACACATACATACATGTGGATTTCTAGGACTTTTGTATGCCTAATAATGACTTTTAACCGTTACCAGCATCCAAACACAATCGAAATATGTTGTGGACTGCTCATTTATCCTTGAAATATGAATCTATTATTGCCATGTACTTGGAGCTCCAGCTATGTTAAATCTTGAGTTTTATATGTGCGAGAATTGGTTAGTTGGTGTAAGTATCTAATGCCTCTTTTGAAAAATCTAAACTTAATGGAATAGTTGTATGCTGTTCGCGAAGAGTGAACAAGAACCCCAACATAGAGAGTTATCATGGCCAATGTAGTTATACAGTGCCTGTGGTTGGAGTTATTTGCATTTTGGATCTTTCAGCTTAGACTGAACCTGATGTGAATCATGTTGCAGAAGTTGGGAAAGCGATTTATTGTTGGCTCACAAAGATGTTTGGATGATGAAATTCATGAAAAGAGAAGGAAGCTCAAGAAATTCAAAGAATCGGCTTGGAAATTCATATACTTTCTCTCTGCAGAAATATTGGCTTTGGTGGTGACCTATAGTGAGCCCTGGTTCACAAACAGTAAATTCTTTTGGGTAGGACCTGGAGAGCAGGTCTGGCCGGACCAAAAAATAAAGTATGGTCTTTCTATAGTTTTTGCTCATATGATGCATGGAATTTGGACTCTGTTATTAATTATAAGAAAAATATAGTGACTGGTTTGTAGTCTGTCAGAGTGTCCAGTTGTTATTGGCATAGTAACCTGGAGCAATTTATTGAACGAGTAGTTTATCTGTTCACAGATTGAAGCTGAAGGGGTTGTACATGTATGCTGCGGGATTTTACATTTATTCTATTTTTGCTTTGATATTTTGGGAGACAAGGCGGTCTGACTTCGGAGTTTCGATGGCTCATCATGTAGCAACTCTCATCCTTATTGTGCTGTCCTATATTTTCAGGTTGGTTAATTGACAATACTGTATTTTTGCTTTAAAATTATGAATCTGATTCTTGCCTTTGGATGTAATGGCTTTTCTGTGTGGAATAATATAATGGATGGCAGATTTTGCTTTCTATCTTTGTTTACACTTATTCTGCTATTGTTGGCTAACAAGTTCATATAGTGTGTTTATTTGAGGGTCATTGACATGGTTTGGAAGTCAATATTGCATTAAACTGAGTGATTATACCTGGACTAGTTATATCTCTTGACATGATGAATCTACAACTGGAGATACTAGTTCGTACTAAGAAAAATAAGAGAAGGCAAATACAGTATTCATCTGGTATGTGATAGCCCATGCTTATAAGGTATAAAGAACTGATTATAACATTGAGGATATTTTAGTAAAAGGGATTAAGCAAAGGGGATTCTATGACACTGAGGCACTTGCTAGGCATGCCTTGCATCTTCAAATTCTCCTTGATCGAAACCTAATGGAGTTTTTTATGATCAGGAACATGCATGATTTGCCACTTTTAGTTTCTTGTTACTTATTTGATTTCTTGGTGTATTTCATCTTGTGAGGTAATAAGCAATTGTGCTGCCTCTTGAAAATAATTGGGTTTCAAGTTTTACACATAAAAGCGGGATGGTGGTATCATTTAGAAATGAAGGGTGCCAAACAATCCTAGATTCCAAAACATAATGGGTGTGAATTTCTCATGGACAAATAACTTAGAGAAGCCAATATCACTAGAAGATGTAATTTCTTGTTAAGTGAAGATTGGAAGTTGGACAGATGGAGTGCAATGAGTTTATTGTTGTGGTGATGCTATTTCCCCACTGTTTTCCCCAGAAATTTGGAAGAACCATATCTTTGTTAACAAGCCACAAAATGAATGATAAGTTGTGGAGCATGTTGAAAGGGAGGTTGTCAGTTAGGTCCCTTGATTGCAACCTATGGAAGGTGGCGAAATGGGATGTGGTTAAGACTACATTATGGTCCTCAAAAATTTCAAAGGGAGAACAATGACAAGTGGAAGATGTGGTCCTCCTCAATTGGGATTTCTTACGAAATGCTGATGGAGAAACTATCAGTTACTTCTTTGCCCCCATGTGATGGACAGAGCATAGTTGTTGGCATCTCCCATCCTAGGTGGAGATCCTGCTCGGGAGTCTTGCTCCCATGCTTTGGGAAAGGATCATAGGAGGCGATTTTTAAATTTTGGGATCCTGTTCCCCTCTTTTAAGGATCCCGATCCCTGCCTTAAAAACCTTGATAACAACCAAAGTGAGGATTTCCTTTATTTATAGCTAGCTAGAAATGCAAATGTACTTTCAATAAAGTTTCTTTGCTTGCTGGCTGTAATTTAAGAGTCCCTGCTTTAAGAATATATAATCCTAGACCTTGTATATCCTGTTGGGAGCAAGATCCATCCCCGAATGGTTGGGATCGAGATCCCAAAAGGGATTGAGATATCTAACATTTGGGGATCTTGATCCCTAACATATGCATTGTATGGATGGTGCTCCCTACCATAGGGATCTTCTAGCCTTTTACTATTCCCTACTTCCAGTCTCGGTCTTGCTTCTGATGGGCAAGAGTATATATGGGCTCTGGCTCAATCACACCTCAATGGGCTCAGATGTTTTAGGGATGATGGGAAGTTTTATGGAGTTGGATATGCAGTCAGATATTCTCTTGGTCTTGTTTTTCGAAAGAGTATTGATCAGGATTAATTATGAGTGACTCTTGAGTTTGTTTGCATCATATTTGAAGAGACAACTGTCTTAATGATACATTTGTTATTAGGGAGAAGGGATAGGAGGCTGATTTAGGTGGGTTTAGAATGGCCTTGTTTAGAACCTGTTGCAGTTATTGGGAAATTATTATGGATCCAATGGGATTTCTATGGAATGGAGGAGATGATAGATGGTCACTGTAGTGTGGATCTCTAAAGCTCGAGGTGGAGGCAAGTGAGAAGAATGCCTGGCCCTTCTCCATGTATAGTCCACTCTAGGCCTTAAATTGGAGTTGTGCAATTTTTATCATTGGGTGATCAAAGAAATATTTTGATATAAGCGGGGAGGTGGCTACAGTACTAAAGACCCTAAAAGACGTATACCGATGGAACGAAGGGTTCAGGACTCCCACTGACTGCCGGCACTCAACTAAGGGACTTTGGGCCAGAATCAAATAGAAACTTTTGACTGACGGGACTAAGGGACGAGACGAAATGGTGGCTTTCGAGGCCTTTCCTAGAATTATTTCATAGGAGATCCTGAGGTTTTCAGTAATTCCTTCAGCATGGAAGTCCATGATGGCATTTTGTAAAGGGTAGCAGAGTAGTTAAAACTCCTGTCTTTATAAGTATCACCAAGGACAAGGCTAAAGAGTTGACTATTACATTAGACGTTGTTTGAGGATGTCTACTTGCCTATGGACATTACGGATACTACTTCGGTTTAAGTAATGGAGGCTTACTTGTTCTACTCATCAAGCATAGATGAAGTAATTCTTTACTCTTCTGATCATAAAATTTGGAGGAGCTTGGATTCTTCTTGGGTTTTTGACTTTTTATGGCTAGTGGTCAAACAATAAGAATTATGTGTGGCCACCTTCTTGTTACAAGTTTACAACATCTATTATATTTTTTCTGTTGTTTTTGCTAGTGCATTGTAGTTTACTATTTTCATGATCATCAGGTTCTTTGAGAATGGAACTGAAGAAAGATGGAGTTTAGCATGGATTGGGAGGTAGGTTTAAGCCAAAATTGGATTCTTATATGAGAATTCTTGCACATTTGAAAGATTAGAACAATGGGAGTGGCAAAATTGAATACATTATGTTTATTCCAAGATGATTATATGGAGGAAGGGCAACATTCCGGTCTACCTCATGTCCATCTTCCATATTCCAGCCTCTGTGTCCGATAAGCTAGAACAGCTCTTGAGAAACTACCTCTGGTCTGGGCAACCTGAAAAAACTAAATTTCATCTTTTATCCTGGGACAAGGTCTGCAGACCTAAACCTCTTGGGGGACTGGGGATTAGAATTCTCAAAAAACACAACCTTGCACTGCTCGGGAAATGGTGGTGGCGCCTTGCCACCCAGCCTGATGCTTTGTGGGCTCAGGTGATTCGTGACAAATACCACATACCTCCTTCCCATTGGGTACCTCAACACACAAATTGAGGAAGAGCTTCAAGGTTCTGGAACTCCTTTAAACATTCCCTTGAACTTTTCAAAAAGTTCATTAGGCTGCACGCAAGAGAAGGTTCCAAGGTCAATTTCTGGTCGGACTTATGGCTAGGGCACACACCCTTTAAGGACCTTTATCCCTCCCTTTATGCCATTGCATCAAACGCCTCTTTCAGAAGAAACCTATCCGGGGTTGAAATTCCTTTTTTCAATCATCTTCTTGCAGCCTTGAATGAAATTAATTTGCCAATCTCTGGTCATGATGTGTTCGTATGGACCCCCTCCCCCTTAGGTAATTTCACCGTGGCCTCTTTCTACCAAAAACTGACCCAACCTTTCGCTCTGCATACGACTTTCCACACAGCTACAGTGAAAGTTTGGTCTTCCTTGGCACCCCCGAGGGTGCAGTTGTTCAACTGGATATCATGCCATCAAAGAAATCTCATAATAGACCAATTGCAAAGGAGGGGAGTGCAAACCCCTAACAGGTGCATCATGTGCCACTCGGAAGAGGAGACCAATGCTCACCTCTTCATCCTTTGCGACCTGGCGTCTTTTTTATGGAGCAAAGTCTTGCACCTTTTCCACCTCCAATGGGTCATCCCATCCTCAGTACCTGATTTATAGGGCACAGACTTCAGTGGGCCCTGTCCGAAGGCTGGGAAATCTCTGTGGAAAGCAGCCACGGCAGCACTGTTTTGGGTCATTTGGAACGAAAGAAATAGCAGAATTTTCAGGGGCTGCTACCAGCAGCCAATGGCACTCCTCAACAAGTTTAAAACCCTGGTCACTTTCTGGGCCATTAATTCCAAAGACTTTGTAGGAGGGCCATCTGCATATTTGTTTGACAATTGGCACCTGATTGTAACCCACAAGCCAAGAAGGCCACCAAAACTCAGCTCTTGGCAACCACCCCCAAGAGGGGCCATCAAACTCAAGTTTGATGGATGCTCAAGGGGTGTAACCCAGGGCCTTCGGGGGCAGGCGGAGCGTTCCGAGACTACCAAAAAAAACCTCCTCTTAACATACACCGAACCTCTTGGGGTCATGGATGCTCAACATGCTGAGGCATCAGCATTCCTGATAGGATTAAAAAATTTCAACTGTTCATGGGCCATTACTCTGATAGTTGAAGGGGACAACAGAAATGTCATAGCCTGGGCCTCTAAAAAGACTCCACCTCCTTGGTACTTATTGCACATTTGTGATAAAATTGAACTTCTATGCAGGGATATCAGCGTCTTATGGATGCATACCTACAGGGAATCAAATGCCCTAGCGGACCTACTGGCAAATGACGGAGCCCTCATCGCAACTTAATCACGGATCGCAATTTAATCACGGGACAACTGGCCACTTTTTGTCTTCCTCTTGTTTACCTTTCGCCCTCAACTTTGTACACATACTACTCCTCTGTAATCTGGGTGCTCTATAAGCCCTTTTTTTTCCAGGCCAACTTTTGGTTGTCATAGGCGATTTTTGTTTGTACATAGGCCTTTTGCTGGCCCTGGGTGGCACCCATTTTTGTGAGGGTCGACACTACAACCTCATGTACTTCTCTTTTATTAATGACAGTTAAAGTTATCAAAAAAAAAAAAAGATTATATGGAGGAAGGGCGTATTGCTAAATACCTTCTCAAGGTCAACACTGTATATGGTATGAATTTTTAAAGTTTTATTTTGAAATGGGCAAGGGGGTTTGAGAAACTCATGATTTCCTATTGATTGGAAGGATTTCTTAGGGAACAGTAGCACACCAACATGAGTGATTGAATAATGCTTCTTGAGGCTAGAAAACTCCATTAACTACTCCC